CACCATGTCAACATTAGGAGAGTGCTGTGAACATGGAACCATGTGGTGTGTGACCTTTGGAGACTGGCTTTTTTCCCCACTCAGCATAATGCCCTTGAGGTTCATCCAAGTTGCTGTATATATCGATAGTTTTTTTTTTTTTTTTTTTTTACAGCTAGTTGTATTTCATTGCATGGATATATGGGCTTCCCTGATACTTCAGTTGATAAAGAATCTGCCTGCAATGCTGGAGACCCCGGTTTGCTTCTTGGGTCGGGAAGATCCGCTGGAGAAGGGATAGGCTACCCACTCCAGTATTCTTGGGCTTCTCTTGTGGCTCAGCTGATAAAGAATCCGCCTGCAATGTGGGAGACCTGGTCTTGATCCCTGGGTTGGGAAGATCCCCTGGAGAAGGGAAAGGCAACCCACCCCAGTATCCTGGCCTGGAGAATCCCATGGACTGTATAGTTATAAGAGTGTTGTGTAAATGAAATCATGTAGTATGTCACCTTTGGAGACTGGCTTTTTTTTTTCCCACTCAGGATAATGCTCTCGAGGTTCATCCAAGTTGCTGCATATATCAATCATTGGTTTCGTTTTACTGCTGACTTGTATTTCATTGTATGGATATACCAGTCTGTTTAACCATCTGCCTATGGAAAGACATTTGGGTTTTTTCCCCTGTTTTTGGCTATGACAAATAAAGCTAGTATGCTACCATGACATTAATGTAGCCACTCCTTTTTTAAAATAATCATTGTTTGCATGATATATTCTTTTCCACTCTTTTTTTCCCAAACTGTCTATATCATTATATTTGAAGTTGATTTCTTATAGATTGTATATGGTTGGATCATGTTTGCTTTTGAAAAAAAATCCATTATGCTCATCTCTGTCTTTTAATTGTTCTATCAATGTTAAAAACTTGAACACTTGTTAGAATTCTATTTTGATTGACCTAGAGTGTATTTGAATTTATCTCTTTTTATAGATGGATTTTTAGTGGTTTTTCTAGATGTTACATTATACATACATAACTTATCACAGTCTACTGGTATTTATACTTTACTGGTTTGTGCAAAATCTTACCTCCTTTAAAGTTCCTTTCCCTCCTTGTTTTAAATATAATTGTCTTAAATATATTCTCAGAATGTATCAAGAACCACATCAGAAAATGTGGTGTGGGTCTTCTGCTCCTTCTGCTGAACTTGGTCACGTTCCTGAAGCCAGTAAGTGGTTGTTTTATCACTCTGCGTCCCACAGAGTATCTGGCATACAGTGAGAGCCACTCATTCATACCCAACTCTGCGATCCCGTGGATGGTAGCCCGACAGGCTCCTCTGTTCAAGGGATTCTCCAGGCAAGAATACTGGAGTGGGTTGCCATTCCCTTCTCCAGGGGATCTTCCTGACCCAGGGATCGAACCCAGGTCTCCTGCACTGCAGGCAGATTCTTTACCATCTGAGCCACTGGAATGAGTGGATGAATGAATGAGTGAGCGAGTGAGTGAATGAGTGTTTATTTGTATTGCCTCACTTATTTCACTAGATGTTGTTGCTGACCAGAGTCCCTACTGATGGAGAAAAGTTGGAGGCCTACTCCACTGGGGCTCTGGGTAAGTGCCCTGTGGGGAACCCTTGAGGCATAAGCTTTCACTCTTAGTGGGTAGGCCAACTGAGAGGGAAGAGGAGATCAGGGAGTCAGCAATTCATACAATCGCTGACCCATTGATTCACCTACTCATCCACAGTTGGGGCCAGATGTAGGTTTTCATGCCCAGAGGAGTGGGCCCATGAGAAGGGAGAGATGGGGAGAAGGCTGACATTTTATCCACCCATCCATTTATCTACCTATCCATCTATCTATCTATCTGTTCATGTATCTATTTATGTATCTATATCCTTCCATTCCCGAGGGCTCAGCAGGTAAAGAATCTGCTGTCTATGTAGAAGACACAAGAAACGTGAGTTTGATCCCTGGGTCAGGAAGATTCCCTCGAGAAGCAAATGGCAACCCACTCCAGTATTCTTGCCTGGAGAATACCATGCACAGAGAAGCCTGATGGGCTATGGTCCATGGGGGTCGCAAAGAGTCAGACACGACTGAGTGACTAACACTTTCACTTTCATCCATCCATCTATCCATCCATGCATGCATCCACATATCATCCATCCATCCAGGACTACAACAAGACTGTTCATGGTCCTTAAATGCCAGCTTAGGGCTTTAAATTTAAAGCTATTTTCTTTTTTTTGGTGACAGCTGTCAAAGAGAGGAAGTTAATTTGCATGAACAGCTCAAGTGCATGCTGGAAGCTAATTGGGGCTTAAGCAGGGATAGACTGCGGATCTTGGAGCAAGTGGAACATTGGCGTTTCAGAAAGGGACCTCTTCACTCCTCGTGACAGTTTTAGAGGGAGATGAGGACCAGATGGGACACAGTTACTCTCATGAACCAAACACCTGGATTATGTCCTCATTAACCATTTTATACTGACTCTAGAATACAGGGCAAACAGATGGAGTGGTCTGGTGGTTCTCAAAAGTTCTTGAAAAGAAGAGCACCCAGTTAGGCTTTCTGGCATCACTGTTGGGTTCAAAATAAATTTTGAATGAGTAAATAATCTGGGAGGGGGTGACTTTCAAATGCCCCTGCCTTCCAGTAGAGACCACAGTATCTTCTCAAGGTCAAAGCTGAGACTGGGGCTGTGAGAGGGACCAGGTCTCTTGGAGGAACCAACTTTCATTTTATCTTTGCCCCTGGGTGCTCCCCGCCAACCACAGGCCACGCTTTGTTTCTCCCTGTGTGAAACATGTGTTTCAGTGTTTGAAACATATGTGTGGGTGTGTGCTAAGTCTCTTCAGCTGGGTCCAACTCTTTGTGACCCTATGGACTGTAGCCCGCGAGGCTCATCTGTCAGTGGGACTTTTCCAGGCAAGAATACTGGAGTGGGTTGCCATGCCCTCAACCCAGGGATCAAACCTGTGTCTCTTACGTATCCTGCATTGGCAGGGGGGTTCTTTACCACTAGTTCCACCTGGGCAGTCCCCATCGGAAACGTAGTCAGTACCAATAATACCAGAATGAGTGAGTGGACAAATCCATCCATTAGTCAACACATATTTGTTGTGGGCCTACTAAGTGCCAGGTATTGTCTTAGGAGCCGAAGGTACAATAGTAGATTAAAAAAAATGTTTAGGCTCAGTGTATTTAAAAACCACAAGTGAGTCCTAACACCTTATGGGGCACAAGCCACTGCTGTTGTCTCCTGAGTCTGTGCCAAGTGGTGCCTGCAGGTGCCCGTGGGTGGCGGTATCTTGGCGCCAAGGCCCAGGTGTTGGTTCTGGGGCAAAAAAGGTGAAGAGAGGGCAGTACCTCCCAAGGAGTCAAAACTGGTGGAAAGGTTTAAGGGCTGTTTATTGGGCATGTTCCATGCCAATAAATGGGTTATTTCTCTGAGGTCTCCACCCCAGGGAGTAGGCTTTTTTTATTTGCTCTGCTTTACAGAAAAGAAATTGAGGCCCCAGCGATTGCTGTGACTCACTCAAGGCCACTGGGGGAGAGGGTGGTGGAGCCAGGATTGAATTCAGGTTTGTTTGGCTCCAAAGGCCATGTTCCTAACCACTTGGCTCCACTTCCAGAAGGAAGTGGAAGGGAGTGGTAAGAGGGGTCACAGGAGCTGGGGCCTGGCCATGGAGAACTCTGGAGACCTATCTTGGGTGCTGGCTTGACCCTAACGCCCTGTTGTCCTTGAGCATAACATGATCATGGGTGACTTCAGGCAGACCATCAGGCCAGCTTGCCTTTTGCTGGTCCACTGAGAAAGCCATTCTGCAGAGCAAATCATGTCTGCCCATGCCCAGGACAGATCCTACATGTTTACACAAACCACTGAATAAAAGTTATATATTGTTGCAATTTCTAAATACCTGGTGATCCACCACTTGTAGCTGCCAGAGATGAGAGTGCTTGGCGGAAGCTGACAATGGCTCTCAGCCCTGCTGGGTGCCCTGCAGCTCTGGCAGGTAGAGTGGCTTAGAACTCAGCCACAAGGGGCAGGAGGGAGAACCTGATTCTGCTCTGGCCTCCAGGATTATTCCAGTCCTGGCTATTTGTCTAAATCTGCATTGATTGCCCCCCACGTCTGGAGAAACTAGAGATGAGTTGGGGACAATGCTCAGATACCTTACCCCTAGTGCAGCCCCTCTTCCTGGCTGTCCTGTCCCAACGAGGTGACTCCAGGTGTTACCTCCAGCCCTCAATGGTCGGTGCTGTCTGGAGGGCAGTGGTAGGCTGACCCTTAAAGCTAAAGTTGCCGTAGTGTTTCCAAATGCAGGTCCATGGGTTCAATGCACAGGGAGGCCAAATAATACAGAAACCTCGGAGTTTGGATCCGAGAAAGGTTTATTGCAGGGCCATGCAAGGAGACAGGTGGCTCATGCCATAAATCCCCCGAACTCCTCAAAGGCTTTCAGCAAAGCCCTTTTATAGGAAAGGTGAGCAAGGAGTGTGGTTAGTCGTGATAAACTTCTTAGCATTGAATCCTTTGTTCTTGTAGCTGTCTACTAGGTCAGATTAGGGTCAGGTCACAATGTTGCCATAAACTTTCATCAAAAATGAAATGTTATCCTGTATTCTGCAACATTTTTTAATCTAAAGGTATAATACTCTAAAATGTCATAGCCTTGAGAATTATACAAAAAATGGAAGGGGAGGCACTGAATTCTGTCTCCTTGCAGCTTTTAACTCTTAACAAATCCTGTAAGCAAAGCAAGTTTCACTTGTTCAAGGTCCCAATGATTGGTTTTCTCCCTCCGAGGTCCCAGCCCTGGCTGAGAGGAGGGGTTCTTGCTTGGGCTGGTCACCCCGCCCAGGAGTGTCCACGTCACACCCGGTCCAGGTCACCCCACCAGTGCCCACACCCTGCTGGAGAGACCCGTCTCAGCTGGTGGCACTCTCAGCGCCAGGCCCCCGGCCCCGCCAGCCATCATCGCCGAGGGAGCCAGGTGCCCAGGACCCACCCGGCCCCCAGGCTCCTCGGGCTGTGCAAGCGGGGGCTGGGTCCCACAGACTGCAGCCCAGGGTGACCGCCGCCTCCCGGACAGGACTCCTGCGCTGCCGACTGTTGGCGGAGTAGGACCTTGAAGGGTCTTGCCTCCCCTCCCCTGTTACAGTTGTGGCTCCCAGCGTGGGGGCCCGGCGGTAAGCCTTTCTCTGCTCCAAACTCAGACGTATGTTGTTTGGCCTCACCGTGCATCGGGCACGTGAACCGGCACTTGGTAACAGCCGTATTTCTCTGCCGGGCATCCCTGCTGGCCTCAGGGGGCGGTGCACTTCCCGAGATGGAGTGACATACTGATCTGTATCTCCCCACCGTGGCTCGCTCGGGCACTTTAGCCATGTGGGGACTTTCTGATGCGGCTCCTTGGCCTTTCCAAGTCAAGCAGAGCTTCCTTCTGCCAGGCCCCCTCTGCAGCTGCTGGTGGGCCTCCTCATTCGTGATGCTGGGACCCTCAGGCTGGAGGCTGGCTGAGGTCAGAGGCTGAGGATGGGCAGTGGCCGTGTCCCTTTCCTTCCTTCCTTCCTTGTTCGAGGGGTGGGGCAGGCCAGAGGTCATTTTCTTCGGCCGCAGCTTCCCCAGCCTTTGAGCCTCTGATTCCTGCTTTTGGTCCCAGCCTGACCAGCTTCTCTCTGCCATCCGTGATCACCCCCATGGTTCTCCCTTGATCTTGCCCACCATCCTCCACTCTCAGCCTTCCCATATCTCCTAGTTCAAAGTCTCACCCTCCTCATCTCCTCAAATCCAGTCGCTCTGTTTCCAGCTCTCGGGTTCATCATATCTCCCCAGTCTCCTCCAACTGCCTAAATCAGACCTTTCGCTGTGTCTCCCGGCCGCCCCAGCTCACACCCGCTTGCCTCAGGGTACCCATGATTGCGGGCTTTCCCCTCTTCCCCAGGCTCTCCTGATTCCTCTGTCCTCTCTCAATCTCCCTCCTTCCACCATCTCCCTGCCTCAGGCATCAGCTTCACACCTGTCTCTCCCTCCTCCCTCCCTTTTCTCCAGGTGGCCCACTGCCAGTCGGGTACCAGTTGGGTTGCCATGGGAACCGCTGAGCTGCTTAGGAAGCTGCCATAGATCTAATCATGGCTGTGAGGTTTCAAGGAACAGCTCAGTTTCTCGGCAAAAGAAGGTGCTGACAGCCGATTAGGCTGATGCTGGGGCCAGGGGGAGGGTGAACAGGAGCCATGGAAAATCTCAGCTGAGGCAGGGCCAGGCCCCCCGGGCACCTGGAGGCAGGAGGCCAAATATCCCCAGCCCACTGCACTGTTGGCTGCCTCACTGGCTCTCTCAGACCTTCTGGGATTTTCCTTAAGAGATCATTGATGCTTCATTTATTCTTTCCTCCCCCATCACTCTCACTCATTCATTCACTCACCAAGTCTCTCCCGTCTCTGATCATGTGTTCCCAAGGCCTTTTGAGAGCAGTGGGAGAGACTGATCACTACACAGGAAAATTCCCCAGGGGGCCAGGCTCTGCTGGAAGGCTTCCGGGGGCTAAGGGGGGCAGTCCATGCCAAGGGGGAAAAGTGAGGAGACTAAGAAGTAATCTTTCTAGCAGATCCTTGAGTTGAGTCTCAAGGTGGAACAGGAGCACGTTCAGCTCAGTGAAAAGTGAGGACTCTTCCGGACCCATAAGTTCTCTCTCTGAAGTTGGGCCACGGAACCTCTTTTTGAGGATGCTTGAGTGAGGCCGTGAGGACCCACTACCTACCGACTGAGCTGTTTCCAGCAGGGCTCTGGGCATGGTCCCTTCAGAGCAGACTCTGCTTATAGCTGTGCCAAGGATGGGTGGGCAGGGGGCATGACTTTACTCCTGGAGAAAGAACCCAAAGTTCACCATACCCAGCTCCCCTGGGGTTGGTGGTCTGTGTTTAGGGAGGGCAGGAGGATGGGGGTTACTGCTGAGAGATGTTCCCATCTGCAAATCCCCGTCCATCTCTTTCAGCTGTGTGGCCAGCAGGGTTGTGTCAGGACTTTACGGCCAGAAGGGCCTGCCAGCTTGGCCTAGTCTCGGATGGCTCCCCCTGTACAGGCCTTTGGCTTCTTTCATCGAGCCAGAGACTGCGTTTGCACACAATTTGCATACATTTGCATGTGGTGAAAGCAGGGCCTGGAATAACATGGGAAAACACATGTTTTTTGTCTCTAGGGTGCCTGCATTCTGAATAGATAAGCTCAGGGGCCCAGAGACCAGGCCTATAAAATTCTTCCTTCCTCTGGTCCTCAGGCCTCCTCTAGGGACTCTTCCTGCCTCCCTGCCCACCCCTCCACTGCCCCACGTGGCGCTTGGACCCCGGGTCGGGAAGTGGGAGGGCGTCCCAGTCAGGGAGCCCGGGCTCCCCCGGGCTCAGTTACGTACGGGCTGTGTGGCTTCACATTTCCTCTCCGTGTCTCCACCTGTCTGTGGTTTACAGAAGTTCAAGAACTGGAGGGCGTGTCCTTGAAGAAGCATCACATCATTCATTCACTGGGTTCAAGTCATTGTGTGCTTACAATGTACCAACACCATCTGTTCTGGAATGAACAAAAGCAGCCATGATCCCTACCTCTGGGGAGTTTCAGGGAGACTGACATTAATCAAATGACCACACAACTCGATGTTCAATTGCAACCATGATAAGTGCTATAAGTTATAGAGACATGCGGTGCTTTATGGGAGCCCAGAATTAGTCTGGAAAGTCACAGATTTCCTGGGGGAAGTATCCTTCAGCTGAGCTGTTAAGTGTTATTTATGTAAAGAGAGGCTAGAAGAACCTTCCAGGGAGAAGAAAAGGCATATGCAAAGGCCCTGTGGTGGGAAGGAGCAGAGAGACTGCCGAGGGGAGAGGAAGGCGCTGTGTCTAAGTGAGAGGGGTGTGGAGTGAACACCGGTGGGAGGGCTGGGCCAACCCCACCGGGTCTTTCTGATCTTTTAGGGAAGGTTCTTCTTTTTTTATTTTAACCTTTTATTTTGTTTTGTACTGAGGTATGGCTGATACTGGTGGCTCAGATGGTGAAGAGTCTGCCTGCCATGCAGGGAACCCAGGTTCAGTCTCTGGGTTGGGAAGATACCCTGGAGAAGGGAGTGGCTAACCACTCCAGTATTCTTGCCTGGAGAATTCCACGGACAGAGGAGCCTGATGGCCTACAGTCCATGGGGTCGCAAAGAGTCAGACACTACTGAGCGACTAACAGTTTCGCTTTCACAGTCGATTAACAAAACAATGTTGTGATGGTTTCAGGGGAACAGCAAAGGGACTCAGTCACACATATCCATGTATCCATTCTCCCCCAAACGCCTCTTCCATCCCGGCTGCCACATACCATTGAGCAGAATTCCACGTGCTATATAGTAAGTCTTTGTTGGTTATCCATTTTAAAGATACCAGTGTCTGCATGTCCATCCCAAACTCCCTAATTATCCCTTCCCCTCATCTAGAAAAGGTTGTTTTTAAAGCAATGATGTCTTTATTCAAAGAGCAACAGAAGCCATTAAGCAAGGCAGCAGCACAGTCAGGCTTGCATTTTACAAAGATGGCCTGGACTGTGGAAAATGGGTGATGCAAGAGCAGGAACACCAGTCAGGAGGCTGTGGGATTGTCCAGGTAAGAGGAACTGGAGTTAGGTCGTGAAGATGGGGGTGGAAGGAAGGGGATGAAGCTGTGAGATCAGCAGGTGGTACCCTGGACAAGGCGTGGAATGATGGACGGGGTATAGGGGACCGAGGTGAGAACGGGTGTTGACAATGACCTCTAGATTTCTAAATAGCCTTTGAGCCATTGACTGAAGAGGTAGACATGGGGCTGGGGGAAGCCCATGTTTGGGGATGAAGAGCAGAATTGAGTCACGATCACATTTGCACTGCCTTTGAGGCCTCCTAGTGGCAGATGGGCAGAGGGTCCAGAGCTCAGGGAAGTAGTGGATGGGGGTGCTGTGTTCTCCCAGCCCCCAGCCCCAGGAGGACAGACCCTCAGGACCCCCTCTGCATCTAGCACCTTCCAGAAGCAACCAACCTCATCTGTCTTCTCTAAGTCATGTCTGACTCTTTTGCAACACCCTGGCCTTTAGCCCACCAGTCTCCTCTGTCCATGGAATTTCCCAGGCAAGAATACTGGAGTAGGTTGCCATTTTCTTCTCTGGGGGATCTTCCCAACTTAGAGATGGAACCTGAGTCTCTGGCATTGCACGTGGATTCTTTACCACTGAGCCACTTGGGAAGCCCCCTTTAGACCAGTGTTGTTGCTATTCAATTGTTAAGTCATATCTGACTCTTTGTGACCCTGTGGAGCCTGCCAGGCTCCTCTGTCCTCCACTATCTCCCAGAGTCTGTTCAAATTCATGTACATTAAGTCAGTGATGTTATCTAACCATCTCATCCCCTGCCAGCCCCTTCTCTTTTTGCCTTCAGTCTTTCCTAGCATCAGGATCTTTTCCAATGAGAGAATTATTTTGGGCTTATATCTAATCCCAGGGTGGGCAGAGCATTGGGGAATGTGATAAGCACCTTCCCCCATCATGTATATTAAACGTGCATCTTCCCTATGTAGGGATGGAATCTTCTGAATCCAAAGCTGGCACCTGCAAAGGAAGTCCAGGCTGGTTCCAGGACCAGTGCACATTCTGAAGGACATGATGTAGATGAAGCTTTACAATTTGGGGGATCTTTTGATGGCTTGTGGGGGTGAGGAGACAGTATATTTTAAATAAGGACAGTCTCAGAAAGCTGAGGTTATGTGGTTTCCGCCAGAAGGCAAAGAAGAGGATATGAAAGGAAAGGAACAGAGGATCTGTTATATGGGAACATCTGCTGCATGCCAGACTTTATGTTAGTTTTTTTTTCCCTTTTAGTAGTATGACACTATTCTCAGAAAAGTGAGGCAGGTGTTAATCAGCCCATTTTACAGATGAGAAAACCGAGGCTCAGCGAGGTTAGAAAACTTGCCCAAATTGCTCAGAGAGTATGGGTTGGAGCTGGCGTTCTCACCCAGGGTCGTGTCCTTTCTGCCGCATTGGTATCTGAAAGTGGAAGCTTAATCCGGAGCCCAGGAGAAACCTGGACCAGATGCCAGGAGTGCAGGGCATCACACTGCACTCACGCGCTGCCGGGAGGAGACTGGAGCTTCGCTGCCGGCATCTCCAGTTTCCTGATGTTCCTGCTCTCAGCCCAGTCGTCTGCCTGGGGCTCCCCTCTCATTAGTGGCCTCGCTCCCCCTTCACCTGCAGGAACTTTCCACTCCAGCACCCTTGGCTTCTGACCGTCCCCAGGGAGTGCCCCGTGCATTCTCGCCTCCAGTCACGGTCCTGCTGTGATTCCTTTTAGAATGCCTGGTTCTGCCCGAGCCCTGCCCACCTCATCCCAG